CTGGGACCGTGGGGGTTCAAGGTAGCAGAGTCGTATTGTGTGAGGGGCACGTGCTCGTGAGGTCAAGCCAGGGTGACCCCTTGGCCACAGAACAAGTCCCGACTCCTGTTCCCCACGGTAAAGAGAGGCAGGGTGGTTCCAGAGGCCCCTAGCTGGGGTCTGTTTGCTGTGCCTGTGTTGTGACCCGGTGAGAACCAGGTGTGATGGGTGAACTGCATGTTGGGCACCTCTCGGGGGACTTGGCACTCTGGGCCCCGGGGGAGGGAGTCTTGGTGGCTGTGTGTGCAAAAGCTGACATCTTTTGCTGGCTCTGAGTTTGCGGCTCGACGTGGGGATGTGTTCCTTACTTTCAAAAACCTACTGCTGCTGCTTCTCGCAGGAGAGCGCCTTCTTCATACTCCCTTCTCTGCTTCTTACCGTGGTTTCTGATTTCCATCCCTTCCAGAATTCCCCCGGTAGAGGAAGCCAGCCATTGGAATTCCAGTGTTGTTTTTTTTTTTTTTTTTTTTTTTTGTTAATAAGCACAGCTGAGTTGCTATTAAATTTAAAATGGATTAATCAGCTGACTCCAGAATGCATTTTAGATATCACAGGGCAATGCCAGAGACCTTGCAGAGTCTGGCCTCGAAAGCTGCCTCTTTAACTCTACGGGAAGGAGTCGTGTCGCGTACGCTCTTTGCTTTGCCTCCTCTCCTCTCTGTCCATCGGTCCTTCTCAGCCATTCCTCATCCAGGTGCTTGTTAACCAGGCATTCAGGGAGCACCTGCTCAGGCCCATGGTCCTGGCTCGGGGCCGTGAGCAGGGGCTTTGCAATCGCGCAGGACACGGGTTTGATTCCAGGCACTGCCACGTCCGTGCACTGTAACCCTCAGGCAAGTTACTTAACCTCTCTGAGCCTGTTCCCTCCTGCGTGGGCCAGGACTACAAGATCCCCGCCTCCCAGGAGGATCTGGAGAACAAAACAGGGTGGGGTTTGCAAAGCTCTGATACCCAGGGGCAGGTAGCCCCCTGCCTTCTAGCAGCTTCTGTGCAGTACCGGCCCAGATGGCATTGCCCGGCCAGCCGCAGACCATCTCGTTCCCAGCCTGTGCCCCTTTGCTCAGGCCTCTGAGTTCCAGGCTCGTTGCGGTCAATTGAGGGATCGGAAGGTTCCTGAGAAATTTCTAGTCTCCCTCTTTCATTCCCTGTTTGAACCCCTCAATGAGGTCTCCTCTATGGGGGTGATCAACCTTGGCTTAAAGGCCATCAGAAATTGGTGGGGGCGCCCGTTTGAGCGTCTGACTCTTGATTTCGGCTCGGGTCATGATCTGAGGGTCGTGGAGACATGCATTGGGCCCCACGCTGAGCACAGAGCCTGCTTAAGATTCTCTCCCTCCTGCCCCTCCCCTGCTTGCTCTCTCTCAAGCTTGTGCTCTCTCGCAAAAAAAAAAAAAAAAAAAAAAAAAAAAAAAATTGATTGCCATGGACCCCCTGAGTGGCCCATTCTCCTTTGGAGACTTCTCAGGTACCCTCTCTGTCTGGGCCAGTAAGCCCCTGACCACAGCCAGTATTTGAAACGTGGCTTATCCAGATTCAGGGGAGACAGAGTAGTTAGTATAATACGCGTTCCAGATGCCAAACACTTGAAATGAACAAGAAGAAAATAAGTTTTCGTTAATCGGTTCGTATTGATTTGATGTTGAAAATTGTATTTTTTTATTAAAAACATTTTTTTTAATGTTTATTTTTGAGAGAGAGAGAG